TTTCCAACCCTTGTTCATAGGGATCTATCTGTTGCAGTAGACTTGACAACACTCAACAACAATATTCTACTCAGTCTAGAGGCCTGTGGTTTGAGGTGTTTGGGGAACATGGGCTGTCATGTCATAGGCAACAGGGAACACCTGCTGGAGCTGAACTGATAGGAATCCACGCTCAGAAGAATTTCTCAGGACACTCAGAGCCAAGGGTACTGAAAAGGCACTTGCTGCCTCAGCAGCTTCTCTAGCCCAGTGTGCACTGGCACTGAATGACTTGGCTTATGCCGGTTGAGTGAGAACTCTACCTGTACAGACAAGCAGGAAATCACATTCCAAGAGCTGCTCCTGGGGGTGGTATCCCAACCCAACTGCTGCGGGTCCTTGAAAGCCAAGGTAGTATTTGGTTTGGCTTAGGTTTAACTGGCTTTTCAAACTTTATAGTTAAGGGATTTAGAATTGAGGCACCTTTTGGAATCTGTCAGACCGGAAGGCTGACAATTACTTTTTTACAGGATAATTGAAGGAAATGCAAAAAAGGAAATCCTGGACAGGTTATCTTATCATGGTGCTCTTAGGCAGCCTCATTCTCCCATGCTACTATCAATGAAGAGTTCCTGAGAAAGCCCAGCTACCAAGACCCACCATGTGGGCAGCCCACAGAACCAGAGTCTAGCCACCGGGTTCACTCTGTCAGTCCAATGCCCTTAGCCAGGGAAGGAGAGCCACACATGGTTAAGAGAGGTGAGGTACTGCTTGCTTTAGAGAACAGATTATATATAAGTTCAAGCAAACATTTCCTCCATATGCCAAAGAACCCCCAGACAAACCAAACCAGTGGTCGTCAATTCAATTGTTACTCATGGCGCTGATCTCATGTGCCTCAGAGGAGAATGATGTTCCACGTTTGAGTGGCTGATTTTTCTGAAATAGACTGCCAAGCCTTCCCAGGGGCCTCTGGGTGAACTTGCTCCCCAACCTTTCAGTCAGCAAGTCGAATGTATTAATGGTTTGCTCCAGCCAGGGACTCATTACATGGGTGTAATAACTTATTCTTTGTCAGCTGATAGTAAAGATTCCATTAAGTGAGCACAGAGGTGGAAGTGGCCTCTCTTTAGTGCACAGAGCAGAGCCATATCCATGGGGCCTACCTCTGCTGACGTCCTGAAAGAGGAAAGGGGCCAAGGGAAGATGTCTTGGTTGTGGGGCTTCCCAGGCTCTGTTCAAGAAGACATTGTTCTCTTGATCCTTCTACATCCACAGAAAGAAGGGAATCTCTACTCCCCATCCCAAGAGAGAAAAGCAAGGAGAACCCTTTTATTTCTCTGTGGTGCCCTCATTCACCCCTCTCCATAGAAGGGGTGCACTCCTGAGGTAGTTTGTGAAGAACGCTCCATCAGCCCTTCTAGTTCTCTCCACAGAGTGTTGCTCCTCCTCACTTTTGGGCGGCTAATGCTCCTGTCTGTAGTCCAATGGAAGCAGCAACTGACCACTTCTCCAATGTACAGTAACTGAGGCTTTTTAATTTTGGGGTGAAATTTTCACAAACGTACTTGGCTTCAGGTTGGCAGCAATAGTCTCCTTTCAGTTTTCTCAGTAAATACCTGGCATTTCAACCTCCTCATTATGGTCTCCTGGGCCTCATTTCTCAATTGATTCTGAATTTGGGAAGTGTGGGGAGAAAATGTGTTAATTAAAGCCTCTGTAAATCTAAACATTTTCCAAGGTAGAACTAAGCCTTCTCAAGTTATTTGGGAGATCCTTAACTCTTCAAACTCTTCATATAAGAGAAGAAAGCAAGATGAACTAAAAATTCATTTATTTGGCTCTCATCTGGAATTCTGTCAACACGTGCTCACCACAAGGCAATGTGTACAATTCGTTTAGAAAAGAAATGAATTGCATTTAGTGTGTTGACAAAATATCTTTTCATTACAGGGTCCAATTCTAGACTATATAGAGCAGTCATTGTCCATGTGTGGGTCTATCTCCTTTCTACCTTGAGCTTCACAAGGGGAAAGACTGTGGACTTCTTTATCTTACACAGATGAGTAGATGTACAATTAATGCAAGAATGGTTCTAACTTTAAAGAAGGAAAGGTCACTTGAGGTGAGCGCAAGTTGGGGGGGGTCCTCTTCCTAGAAGTGGCAGTTTTAGTTGAAGACCAAGTTCCCCTCTTGCTGCTCGTGCAGTCTACAGAAGATCTCTATTTGACTCCTTGGAGCCCTCCCCACGCCCCCTCGTCAAGGGTTTGCACAAAGCTCTCCTGCACATGGACCCAAGCTTTGCAAGACTGAGAACGTTATGGTAATCTCAATAATCTCCATCTCCACGTCACTGCCGGATGTTCTTTTTTTTTTTTGCTATGTGTACCATCAAATCAGATCTGACTGGTACAGGAGGAGATTGCCTCTCCTTCTTCAGCAGAGCATCTGGTGGATTTGAACCGCATACCTTCTGGGATTGCAGGGTAGCTTCCTGCCACTAAGCCACCAGAGCTCCCTACTGTCGGATGTTCTTAAGGAATGAAATCCACTCCCTGCTTCCCAAGAGGAGAAGCTATGGTTCAGGTGACACATGGATAAAGACTTATGTTTTTTAATTTGATATGTTTTAGAGAAAAAATGAACAAGTCCATTACACCTGCAATTTTGCCAATGTCTATACTTAAGATGAGGGTAAAAGGTGGTACGAATATCAGGTCTGAGTCTAGTTACAGAAAATATCAAGTGAAAATGCTTGATGGTGGGAAGCACTTCTGAAACGGCACTCAAAAACCTGTTCGGCACTCAAAAACCTGTTCGCTGGGAAGAACAAAAGTCTCTAAAACTCATGCTGGCCAGTAGTAGGTGCTCTAGAAATAGTATCTGCTTCAGTCAGCGGCCAATGAAACCAGGCACCTGGGAAGAACTGAAGGACAGCGCGCCACAGGGGCAAAGCAGAAGGAGTTAAAAGAAAGGGGTGTGCAGTTTCCAGGCCCATCCCCCCTGCAGCTAATCTGTCACCAAATGAAGAAGCGGCCGGCATAGTGAGCTAGCTGGCAGTTCACTCACAGCAAACTGATTAAGAATGTTCAACCAACAGCAGACTGGAGACCTTTCCAGCGAAAATAAATAGAGTGTAGACTGTATGCAAATGTGTTTGTCACTTTGACAGCACGTCTCAATTAAGGCATCTCGCGGCTGTGGGTAGGCTCTGCGGCTGCAGCTGTAAGGGAGAGCCCACTGCATGGCTGATACTCGGGGCTTGACCTTAATCCGCATGCATGCATTAAAAAAAATCCTGCCTTCCTGTACACTTGCATAATGCTGGCAGCCACGTGAGGGAAGTGACAAACGGGGAAAAAAGCCACTTTCATCCTCTCCAGTTTACAGACCTGTGAAGGCACAGACAGCTCTTATTTCAACAGAGTTTGGGGTGGCTTTTAAAATTGTTTATCCCCCACCTGCATGCGTGCACTCGAGCGAACACATACACACACACATACACACTTACTTATTCTGCATTTAGCCGGGAATGACATGAAAGCATCTTTACTTCTTGCTGAAATGGAAAGAAGGTCTTTCTCCATTTCAAATAGGGCCTCCTTTTTTGTGTTTCGAAAATGGAATGTTTAACACCATGAAATCCCTCTCCCCCGCCCCCTCTTTCTCTGTAATGGGCTCCAAACTACAGCGAGGAGCTCTTTTCATGGGAAGGTTAGTGTGTGCAGGAATGAGGACAAAGGAAAGCAGGAAGCGGGCTCTGGAATGCCATGCTGGCGACAAGTGGGGGCTGTGCTTTCGGCAAACAGCGCCAGGGAATTGGGGCGCAAACTTCCCCAACAGAATGTGAGCGCGGGAGGGGGCAGCGCTTCAGGGGTGAAAACACCAATGCCATTTGGAGATAATCATTAACCAAAAGCGCACTACACTGCGGGTGCTACTTTCTTTTGCTTTCAATTTTATAGCAACTCTTTTATGTGCAAAATCAGAAAAGTTAAAGATGTACAAATGTGTGCTACCTGAAAATATTGATTAAAGGGCAAATTCTTATCTTTTGATAAACTCACTCCTTGTGATAATAACCCAAAGCTACAACTTTGTTGGCTCCCTTCAGGTCTAAATTGTTCAATGCCTGGTACACAGGAGGCCTCTGGGAAATGTCTCCTAAAAAGAGGAACATGGGGGCTTCTAAGTTCTTTATGTGGTGATAGCAATCAAATTATATAAATATATCGATTATCTTAATCATGCTTCTAATTCAGGTGATTTAAAAAATAAATAACTGTACATTCTTATTATAGTCCTATTTTGAAAAAAAAAAAAAAAGCATTTCTCATAAAGCATAAGAAAACAATACTTCTTGCTAGTCTAGTATCCGCTCAAGAAAAGTAGAGAAGGGCACAAAATTTCTTTTTCAGCCAAAAACTTAATCCTCAATTAAGATACAGATAACATTTCCAGTCTCTGTACAGGGGACAATGTTTGACTTAAGGGGGGAAAGCAAGCAAACAGAAATTTTTTTCAAATGCACAGGCTGACAAAAATAGTTGGTTAAAAAAGTGAATCTCTAGAATCCTAGTGTGGGTGTTTACTCTGAGAAGCACTACTCCTGATATTGATTTTCAGGAAGTACATTAATAAAGAACTCCTAATTGATTTTCTAAGACTTCGCTTGTTGCCTTTTATTTGAAGGTGCAAAGAAGGGCCTGTGATGCTAAAGTGTTCTAATGAGATGCTTAGCTACCAGAGGCACCTTAACCAGAGAACCTGGGAGTGGAGGAGACAGCAGCTGCATTTAATAACTTCATTCAGTAGGTGAGCTAGTTTAGGACCAGAGCCATGCCTCTTTGTCAGTATTTTTTAAAATTCACTTTCAAAACATTTTTGCACCAAATAAACACTGGAAGAGGTGAGAAATTCCATGGAGTTGTTTTGCCAAAGAGTCGAAATGAAAAACCATCTGTGGCATGTGCTAGAGCTTCTGGTGAAGTGCAGACTGAGAAGAGGACCAGGGAACATACCTGTCCAAAGTGGACTGTGATTGGCCTCCGGTCTTCTCGGAGCTTGGGGTCCTTGGCCTCTACCAATGGAGATGGCGCAGTCTTCGGTAGCTGCTCTTCTGTGGTGATGGTACAGCCATTCTCGGTGATGTCCTGAGGGGAGAAGTAGGACAGTAGGTTGATGTTTGGGGCCACAATTCCTGGCTTTGAACACAGGTGCTCTCTAAGACCCCAGAGCTAAGAGACCACAGGACTCAATCAGTATTCAGAACTCCTCCTTCCGACAAAGGGGTAGAACAGGGAGGATAATTCAATTTTGCCTGCTGAGGACTAGAGATGTCTTTATACATGAAATGACATATGAAAATAATAAATATTAAATTACAGGGACAACACAACAATAATTCAAGGCAGGAGAGAAAAAACTATTTCAACTTACTATCTTACACAGAGATTTTCATTTTGACATATTCACTTTTGCCCACTTGCAGACACTTAAAAAATTACTTGCAATCACAGCTCATGTATAATTTTATATCCCAATTTTTAAAGGATTATCATAAGCCTCCATGCTGCCACATAATCATTATAATATAATCTTAATGGATGCATAATATTTCCTGGAGTCGATACACAATCATTTAATACACCATTCGGCATTTAGGCGGCTTCTATTTTTTTAAATATTAAAAACACTAGAGTCATAAACAGTTGTGTGGATTTTTTTTCTCTTTTCTTCTGAATTATTTCTTGTATGAAAATCCCTTGTTGTTACTAGGTCAAGGGATACAAACATTTTTAAGATTTTTAATTCATGCTACCAAATTGCTTCCCAATTTACACCAACAACTAGGAATGGATGCGTTACCAGTGTCACGGTGCTCTTGTTAGTCTTACCGTTTTAAAAATGTATCGCTAATTTAATAGGTGAAAAATTAGACCTCATTGTTGTTTTAATTTGCATTACTTTGATTATCTGAGTGTGGACATGTTCTCCACATTGTTTACTGCTGATGCTACTGTGTATGGAGGGGGTCTATGAGTGTTCCCTTTTTCTCTATCCCCAGCCTTCCTCACAGGGAACAGGGCAAAAGCTGAGTCAGAACTCCACAATTTGGGAAACATTTAGGGAACCAGAGTAACCTGTGTAAATTCAGAAACTTACATTTAATTTGCCTTCTGAAAGAAGAAGTAAGGTTTTCAAAGAAAAGCAAAATTCCAATGTGTGCAAGACGGACATGGCTCCTTTGGCTAAAGCTGACTACCGGTTATGCACATGGGTTATTTGGAATGTGGATGGTACTTGCATATGCAATAGATCACATGTTTTATTAAAGCCATGGACGTTGCTTCAACCCTCACTGGAACAAGGCGGAGAAAACATGTACCAAAAAGAAAAGTCTCCGTTTAAATAATAATTCTTCAGCAAAGTAAAAAGAAATAATTCCAATCTAGTAGTAAATAATAATACAATTCTTAGAATTTATTTCATGGCAAAAGTAAATACAGATTTTTATTAGTAAAACATATCCTTCTTTGACCACTCCTTAAGTTCTGCACATAAAAGACTTGACAATTTATAGCCTCTAGTTTTTTGGAGGAAAAGAGGTCCCTTATTGAATAACAATGCATTAAAACAGAAATATATTTAACATTTTTTGGCCTCAGTTTTCTCATCTGTAAAGTGAGAATGTGGTGGCTAGGAGGATTAAAGAAGATAATGTTTAGAACATATCTGCCACTCAATAAATGATAGGCTTTTAAAGTATAGAAAAGAAAATCCAATCTTGCATCCCCACCTGCTAACCTCGTGGCTTCCTTTCCTAAAGAATCAAGGCCACCTCTAGACAGGCCAACCTCAAGGAAGTTTTGCTGTTGTTGTTAGGTGCCGCTGCATTTGTTTCAACCCAGCCATCCCATGGGTAGCAAAACAAAACACTGCCTGGTTCTGCATCATTCTTCGTTACTGCTGTTTGAGCCCACTGGGGCAGCCACTGTGCTAATCAATCTCACTGAGGGTGTTCATCTTTTTCTCTGATCCCTGAATTTACCAAGCATGTCTCTTTCCAAGGGGCTGGCCCCTGAAAGAACATATGTAAGATGAATTGTTACCATTCTTGTTTCAAAGGTGGATTCTGGCTATACTTTTCCAAGAAAAGTTTGTTCAGTATTTTAGTTCAAGTATATTCAGTAATCTTTAATCTTTATTATCATCATAATACAAATGTAGAAGATCTGGTGGCCTAGTGGTAAGAACCTGTGCTGCAATCCTGAAGGCATGCATTTCAAAGTCACTAGCTGCTCCGTGGTAGAAGGATAGGCAATCTCCTCCCGTGAAATTAACTCTCTCTGAAAAACCGCTGGAGGGTTAACTATGGGTCGGTTCTGGCTTGATGGTACATAACAGCAACAACAACATATGTATAAATTCTTCTTTGGTCTACTTCATTGTCTTCTTTTACACACATATGAGGCAAATGAAAATATTATGGCTTGGCTAGGCATGCCTTAATACTCAAAGTGACATCCTTGTGGTTTTGTAGAGGTTCTTTGCAGCTGATTTCGTTCATAGGGTTGCTATGAGTCGCCTACCACTCGACGGCACTTAACACAGAGAGAGACCAGCTGGCCCAGTGGCCCAAAAGTGATGCTAACAAGCCAAAGGTGGGTGACTCTAATCCGCAGCCTTCAGGCCAGTTCTTAATTGTTTTTGGTCTAACATTCTTGTAGGTCGTATAGCCCTCGTGTGTCCACTTGCAATACAGAGGTAACTTGTAGTTGCTGTGAAGCTGAACACTGTGACGCTGATGTGTCAAATGCAGTAATGGTTACCCATGGTGGGCAGTGTTTGGTAGGGCTCCCCGGTTAAAACAAGCTTGGAAGAGGAGTGGCATCCACTTCCATAATAGCTTGCCTCTGGAAACTCTATGAACCTGGAGAAAGGATGAAAGTCACGCAAGGGTCGAGGACTTTCATTCATAGGGTCGCTATGAGTTGCCTATGACTTGACAGCACTTAATAACAACAACGACAACAACATGCACTTTGATTTCCTGAGTGCAGCTTTCATGGACAGTGATTGTAGATCTAAGTGAAATGAACCCTTTAACTACTTCAATCTTCTGTTTACCATGATGTTGTTAATCGGATTACTTGGGTTTTCTTTATGTTGAGGTGTCACCCATACTGAAGGCTGTAATCTTGGCTTTTCATTAGCAAGTGCTTCAAGTCCTCTTTGCTTTCAGCAAGCAGAGATGCATCATCTGTGTATCTCAAGTTTTTAATGATTTTCCCCTCCAATCCTGGTGTTTTGCTTCATATTATGAAGCTTCTCAGATTATATGCTTAGCATACAGAGTGAACAGTATGTTGAAAGGATACAACTCTAACACAAATCTTTCCTGATTTTAAACTACACATATGATCTGTCTGAATGAATATTTCTTGGCCCATATATAGTTTCATCTGAGCACAATTAAATGTTCTGGAATTCCTATCTTTTCAAAGTTATCCTTAATCTGGTACGATCCATACAGTCAAAGGCCTTTGCATAGTTAGCAAATACAAGTAAACATCTTTTTGGTATTTTTTGTTTTCAGCCATGACCCATTTTACTTTAGCAGTGATACCCTTTGTTCCACATTCTGTTCTGGATCTAGTTTGCACTTCTAGTACTTCTCTGATGATGTACTGATATAAACATTTTTAAATAGTCTTCAGCAAAAAAAATTATCTGCTTGTGATTATTAATGTTGTTATTGCTGATTGCTTTCAAGTCAAGCACAACTCATAGCGACCCTATGAACAAAAGGCCTGAAGCCCCCCCTACGACTATCGACATTTATCAAAGTTCATAGAGTTTCAGGAGGCATGTTGTTTAGGAAGTGGATGCCACTCCTGCTTCCAAACCTGTCATAGTATGTTATGTGCCATTTAGATGCCTGCGATGTACAGCGACCCTGTGTACAGCAGCTCTTAACTCTTCCCTGTCCTGAGCCAGTCTCACTAATTCCCATACACCAATCCCCATCGCACCAGTTACTGTATAAATACATCTCATCCGGGGTCTCCCTCTCCTACACTGTCCATTCACCCTTCTAAGCATTATGTCCTTCTCCAAGGACCAATCAATCCTGGTCACGTGCCCAAAGTGAGGTGAAACTTCAAAATCCTAGCCTCCAAGGAGAGACTTGGTTTCACCCTCTCCACGACAGACCTGTTTGTTTTCTTGGCAGTCCATGGTATGTTCAAGACTCTTCTCCTGTCATCTTTAGTCATTGTCCAACTCTCTAAAGCATAAAAAATAATTGAGAAGACCATGACCTGGATTAGGCGCACCTTTCTATCTAGACTGACATCACTGCTCTTCAGCACTCTGGAGACGTCCATGACAGCAGATTTTCCCAACCCAATTAATCTTTTGATTTTCTAACTGCTGGGGTTAAGTGTTGATTGTGGGTTCAAGCAAGCTGTAACTGTTAAAAATCTCAATCTCTTCTCCATCTAAGATGGTGCTGCCAATTGGCCCAGTGGTGAGAAACTTTGACTTCTTGATGTTGAGCTTTAATCCATATTGAAGACTACAGTCCTTGACCTTTTGCAGCAAGTGCTTCAGGTCTTATTCAGTTTCAGCAAGCAAGGTTGTATCATCTTAATATTGTAGGTTGTTAATAAGTCTTCCTCCAATCTTGATGCCACACTCCTCCTTATAAAGCCCTCTTTCCCAAATGATCTGTTCTGCATGCAGACTAAAAAGGTATGGGGACAGGATTCATCCCTGACACACTCTTTTGCTGATTTTGAACCATGCAGTGCTTCCTTGCTCTGTTTTGAGGACTGCTTCTTGGTCCGAGTATAGGTTTCATATAAGCATGATTAAGTGTTCTGAGAGTCCCATTTCCCTCAAGGTTAGGCACAATTTATCGTGGTTCACACATCAAATGCCTTTGCATAGTCAATGAAACGCAGATACACATTCTTCTGTTACTCTGCTTTCTGTCAAGATCCATCTGACATTGGCAATAATGTCCTTAGTGCCATGACCTCTTCTAAACCCAGCTTGTATTTCTGGTAGTTCTCTGTTAATGTACTGTTCAAGTCTTTTCTGGATAATCTTCAACAGGATTTTGCTAGTGTGTGACATCAGTGATATT